TTATTTCTTGGCTCAGGAAGTGTTTATTTTAGTGAGCCATGCTTATAAAGACAATAAAATCTGGTCGTTTAAAGTCTGAAAAAAGTTGTCAGCAGCAATATATCAAAAACTACAATCTGGAAAGAACTTCAGCTACTGTCCAATCTGTATTTGCGTATGTTAGAAGTTCTATAAGCTCAGTTGAAAACTGGAAGAGGTGTCTAATTTTTTAAAAAATATTTAATTCCGCAATTGTCTCTTATCTTCTTCAACTGTTGAGAACAAGATTGAAAAATTGGTCAGAGTTAATCATTGTTTTCTTTTTTAATATTTTGTCGCTATATAACAAGTTGATGACTTTTCAGTTCATGAACTCAGAATTATATTTTAAAATCTGATGAATGTGTTCCTCATTCCTATTCCCTATTTGTCTCTTCCCTGGAGTAAATAACTATAGTACGTGGTCACTTTTGCAAGATTCTTACTGCATTTTAGACAGCAATTGTATAATTTTTAGCCAATTCAGGTCATTTAAAAGAGGCCAGAGACCTTAACACGTGTTTAACTTCTTGCATTTGGTTAAATTAATACAATTGGGAATATTACATGTTTTAAATTTGGTCAAGTAGTCAAAACACAGGTCAAGTAGTCTGAAAATAAATGTAGTCTTCCCTCCATTATGTGCAAATCACCAAGGTAATAGTTCAATAATGAAAAATTTAATAATGCAGAGTTGAAGCTATTCAGTTTTGCCTGTTGCCCTTCCAAAATGTTGAGTTCAGCAAAACTGAAATTTCTGGAAATCAAAACATAGAGAGTGTTAAGATGAACACAATCATACATGCCCATCCTGTTTCCTCCTTCCACACCTTTTTTCTGGCAATAGCTAGTAGAAATTAGCCACAAGCACTCAAGCAGTATTTCCTGCATAAATTATAGCAGTATTGGACACTAGAAGGATTAGGTGATTCACTTAGTTGATTCAGATCACTGTCCCGATTTGATTCGGCCAAATCCAAAACTGCAGATTCAATGCTGATTCAGAGAATCAGCGATTCAGCCATAGACACAGCTTTAATTGCTTTTTCTACACACCTCAAGGTACCAGGTGCAGCTCATGAATGCTGTAATGGTAGGGTGAATGGAGCATCCCACAGGAGCACAGGGCAGGGGCCCCGCGTGCTTGGTGGTGGACCCAGAAGTGGACTGGATGCTGAAATTAAAGGGTCTCCTGATAACGATTCAGATTCAGAAATCTGGCCATCAAATCGGGCCAAATCTCCACTGGATTGAATCAGCAACTGAAGTTTTGCACAGCCCTAGTCTCTACTTAATCTCTCCAGTATTGGTGAGGGCATGGAGTCACATTTGGTAGTGTCACAGGATGGGGTCCCAGGGATGGCTGTGATACCCTTAGGGCTCCTTGACTGTGCCAATCCTCACCTGCTACGTCTTGCTGTAACTGTAATAGATAGAGAGGATGCCCTCAAGTTTTCATTTTGGACATGGTCCTGATGGACCCCACTGAACCCTGTGGGTTCTCAGACCCCTTTTGGGTCCTGCTCCAAAATGGATGCCTCACAGGACACCCTCAGCCTTACGGGCTACATGCATGGCTCCAAACTGCTCCTTTACCATGCCCCAAGCCTTGCAGATGACATTGGCACATTGTCCCTCCAAGGCCTTAGTTTAGCTTGGCCTCTGGTCATCGCTGGGCTCTCCACAGCCCTGTCTCTCTCTCTCTGTGCCCCCTGACACTAGGCTTTCTGCACCCCTGTCTTTCTCTGTGTCCCCTGGCACTGGTGTCTTTTCACCCCCTATCACTGCACTCACACTGGCGCTGGGGTCTGTTCATCCCCTATCACTGTGCCCACACTGGCACTGGGGTCCCCACACTGTAGTGAGCCCCCAAAGAGGCCTCCTCCTTCTCCATTAGCCTCAGCCCAATCCACCAGTTTACAAACAGAAATCAAAATATGAGCCCCCAGGCTATAACATAATGCAAGCATTCAGTGTGTGCTCTGTCCCTTTAAAAGGATTAAATCCCACCCCCCCCCCCCCCCCCCCCCCACGCACTAAATGCCTAAAATTAGTTATGATTAGTTAATACACAGTAAGGCACATGTAGACACCACTTGGCATTAACTTTAGTGCTGGGTCTGTCTAGCCACTAGAGGACTGGCCTAAGCCCAGCCCCAGGGCTTCTGGCTTACCCTCTCTCCTGTTCCAGGGGTGGGATGCTCTCTGGCAGCCCCTAGCTGCAGGGTATAAAAGCCAGCAGTCATTCTGGCACACTGCACAGATGCCTGCTGGAGCCTGTGCACACTCTGGGAGTGGATCGGGCCTTGTGTGCCCCCCTGGACAGGCCACAGGCTGCTTTTGTGTACTACCCTATTGTGGAGTTTTTTCATGTGCAGCAGCACATGTGTAGATGCTGACCCAGCTGGCCTGCCAGCTAGCCCCACAATGGATCACCCTCATGCCTCAGCCAGCCCCTTTGCAGCACATTGATCTGGGTCAACGTGCTGCAGTTGCTCCACTTCATTATGCTACTGGGCCCCCTGCCAGCTGGGGATGCTATGACCTGGCTCAACATACTGCAGTCCCAGATGCACGTTCAAACAGCATGCCCAGGAGCAATAAACTCTGGTGCAACAAGCACTGAAGTTTATTACTGCCAGCCTACTGCCACCACCCCAGCAACACAGCCACTGATGCTGCCTCCTGTTCACATTGCTCAGGGAACTCTAGGGCCGGATGCTGGGAGACATGCTCTGGGAGGCAGGGGGGAGCGAGGAGGCACATTAATTAGCAAGCTGCACTAATTAAAAGCACCCAAGTGTCATATGTATCAGTGTCCCCCTGCTGAAAAAATAGTGGTGGGGTGCTTTGAAATAAAGCTCGTTCAACAAACTTTAGTTCAAAATGCCCTTCCGCCATTTTTCAGTGTGGGGACACTTATACACGTGATGCTGGAGGCTGCTGGACCATGTTATTTCCATGCACCTGCAGACTCAAATATTCAAGTCTACTCTGATGTGCTCGATTTACAGTACATCGGAATAGCCTCCCTACACCTGTATAGGAGCCCCAAGTGTCCAGTTACTCCTCTGCCCCTACTGCTCACTTCACACTGGAAATCTGCATTGAGTACAAGTGGAATTTACAAGTCTTTGCAGCCTCAACAAAGCTTTTAAGCCAGCTATTTAAACCATGGCTTTGTAAGAATGGCACTGCCCCAGCAGTGTCAATTTTAAAGCAGCTACAAAAGCTCATCTTAAATCAGTAAGAGAGTTTTCAATCTTAAATAGGTTAAATACTAATTCTCAGAAAAAGAATGTTACAATTGAGTTTAACTTGCAAATGTCTACTAAGTACTTGGGCTAGTGGGGGGACCCTTTTGCTTATCTGGTTTGCACAGTCTTTACTCAGCATGTCAGCGTGCTTTTAGTAGTTAAAGACTATATTCTGCCATTCTGACCCATGTTAAGTGGGGGTGCCTTACTTTTCTATTAATTTCGTTGGATTCAGTGGTGCTACAGAAATTATGCTTAGTGTGTCAGACATATTCCTGTTGTAGAACATGTGCAAAGGAACTAAATAGAAGCCATATCTGGAAAGAAAACAGCACGCATGTTGATACTAGTTATCTTGCTTAATGCACTTCTGGAAGGTGTTCAGACACTGTGGTGTGGAGGACAGCATAACATAAGGAAGATAAAACTGTTGGGGATTCCTCTGGTGGAAAGAGCTCTCAGAAGTAGATGAGAGAGAAGTGAGCTTTTATGCCAGCCCTTTCCTAACCCAGAAAGGTAAACATATATATATATATATATATATATATATATATATATATATACACACACACACACAAAGAGAGAGAGAGAGAGCTTAGAATTGAAACCTCCTTTTGTAGTTAGCCAGTCAGATTTCCCAATGCCTTGCAGAAATCCCCGCCAAATTTTCCTAAAAAAATATTTCCTGAACCAAATGACATATGCGACATTGTGGGCAGAAGCTAGAGGTGACAGTCAAATTTGGGTTATTTTTAATGGAAATCTAATTTCATGCTTATGGTATAGCTGAACTATGCTTAGTGTTGGATTGCTTTGCTTTTCCTTTGCCTTAAACCTTGTAAAAAGGATTTTATGATGTGGCTGCTTCAAACAGCAAGAGGCTGCACTAAATGATAAAAGAAGTCCCTTACAGTCTTGTGTTCTTACTTTCCATTTGAGAGCAACAGTGCTTACATTCATTTGGCACTCAGTAATCAGAGTCTAATGTCTCTATATAATTTGTTGCTTTCCCAGACATCTAAATAATCAGTATGCATGTATTCCAAATGCAATTGTAAAATCACAATGAAATATTAATAAAATAATTGTGCTAAAGCAACTTATCAATTATACAAGTATCTACTGTTAAAAGGCGAAGAAAATGTACTTATTCCAAGTTCCAGAAAGGCTAGGGTAGGATACATTATATATATATAATGTATATAATGTATATATATATATATATCACATTTTGGGTAGTTTAATTTTGTTAAATTGAGGCTCTTTTCCTTGGTCTGTTGAAGAATGTCACAGCCTCTGAATGTATTATTAATTACTTTTACCCGGAATCATCAGCAATTATTACTCCCCTCACCCCCACCCCATCCTAAAAAATGAAGGACATGATGTTTTAGTACATCTAAAGGAGGAGATAAAAAAAGAAGTCTCCCAAGTGGTGGGTGAGCTGGCTGCATGGAGTTCTCTACTTTTTGTGTCCTGGCAGACCTGTGGAACCTTTTAGCTTGCCTATAACCACTGGAAAAACATTGTTTTTGAAAGGCCAGTGGGGATTAGTACACGTTGAAGTTCTGATCTTTTGTTTTGTGAGTTTGCCATCTGACCCTTTGTTGTCATTTGCACAATTCCATAAAGGACCCTAAAAAGCAAAATGCCTTTAACTTGTAAATCAACACTGTAACAGTTTTCAGATAACCTTTGATCTCTGCCTTTGCAATGTGTTACAGAAAACAAGCATGAAATTGCCAAGTCCTCCTTGTTAGAACTTTGGAAAAAAATGCTACCCGATATTAAGTCTCCTAAGCAGAAAAGAACAACTACTAAGGTTTGTACGGATTATTTTTGAAGGATATTGAAAAGGAAGCTGCTTGTTTGAGGATAAGCCTCCCCTCCCCACCCTTTTACTTCAACTCAGAAGACAATTTCATGTGAAAATTATGGTCACTTTTTCTGATTTAACTTAAAAGCAAATCAACAGTTTACAGACTGTGGATTACTAATTTCCAACATCATTTTAAACCATTCATATCAAATTTTAAACAAATCTGAAATAGTTTCCAATTGTTAAGTGGCCTAAGAATATTTGCATATATAATTTGCATACTGCAACATTTCATTTTGGCCCTTAAAGGAGAGAACCAGTGGGGAACATCTATGGATTTTAGTGGGTGTGCCCTCTCCCACAGCATAAGCAGAATGCAATAGTTATAGGATGTGCTCAGTAGCTGCATAGGAAATACCCCTTGTTGATAAACCACCTGGAAGATCACACCCTCTGGGAGTCCAGCCAATTAAGGTATAGAAATAGAAGAGAAAGGTTATAAATATAGCCTAATTAGTTAGTGGCTGACTGAGGTATTTTTGTTGTAAGTACTAGAGCTTAGTACCTGTACCTCTTTGGATACAAGTGAGCATAATTCCAGCTTCACTTATTTGGAACTGATTCTCTTAGGATATAGTATTTGGTTAACTGCCAAGATCCACTTTTTCTTTGATCAAAATGAAACACCACTATATATCTATTTATATATTTGTAATGTTTCATTTTATCATGGAAAAATGTGGATTTTGGGTTATATTTTTAAATCTAAAAATTGGGGATTTTTTTTTTATTATCAGAGAAAAACAGGATCCCTGTTTCTGAGCACTGGGGAAGGGCATTTCAAGAACCTAAACACCTTACAGTAAGCTGCCAAGTTCACTGTTTTAAATTGGGACTCTGCCTTGGATAAAGGAAGAGCAGAAGAAGAGCTGGTGAGCTGTAGTTTTTATATAAGTTAGTTAGGGTGATGGGGAGAAGACAGTGTCCTAGGGAGTGCCCTAGAGAGACCTAAGAAATTATTATTTTATTAAGTTAATCACTATACTACTTTACACACAAAATATTGATTTCTGCCTCATCTGTTACTGAATACTTGTCTGATACTGACCTGAGAAACAGGATGTTTTGCTGAAATTAGTCCCAACATATCAAATGGTGTCACGTAACTGTGGATCTTTTGGAGTTGAGCCATATGAGGTCTCAAATGGTTGGGACCAGCTTTCCTCTTAGCAGGGGTAATATGTAACCCACTTTATCAAAGTAATTTGAAGTCTGCCATCTCTGACAATTAACAAAGGATATTAATTGTTATATTTCTCAAGTTTAGACCAAGCTCTAATTATTTATACTTTCAGCTGTGGACTCCCCGATACAGTCCTTTCTGGGTCAGGCAACAAGACAGTTTTCATACATGCAATTGTTTTGTTGTGTGATTGCTTTTTCTTTGGCCTATCACATACATAGACACTCACAAATAACATTCTTTCATGGTAACAGTTACTGTATAGTTCATTAACTTTTTTTTTATAAAGATGAAAACTCACTTCCTTAAGTACTGAACTGTTAACTTGTTTGCATTGGCATCAGCCGTGTGTTTGCATCAGTCAAGCCCAGCCCACACAGTTACCTTCTTTTCTTGATTGTTAATTAATGAGAAATTGATGCAAATCATTAGGTCTTGCTGTGTGCTTTTAACTGGATACAGTTTTTATTGTTTGGCATGCATGTTTGATCTTTCTGAAGAGTTATTTTTTAAACCATGAAACTGGGATAACAAGAAGTTCAGAATAAAAAGTCTGGGGAGCAGGGGGTGACTATTCTAATCAGATAGTAATTCAAATTTACAAAACCTCTGATTAGCTTCTAATCACTTCAAGCCAGATTGTGTCTTGAATGCGCAGGCTTACACTGGGATCTCTGTGGAGTCACAGCAGTTTCCTAGCATACATGGGGACAATGCAGTCTGCACCATTCTACAGGACATGATTCAGCATATATGCACCCTTACTTGTTCATGGTTACTTTTGTTGTACCTGCTATTTCCAACACACTCGTTAAAAGACTTTCAGCCTCCCAACTGCTGCTACCCTGGCAGCTTTGTCCATGATACCACTCTAATTCCTCTCCTTTCACTTATAAATGAACACAGAAAATTCTAAAGGGCCAATGCTAAACTGGCTTATAAACTACTATTCGTTTTTGAGATGTGAGGAAGTAGGGGAGAATCCAAATGTAAAAACATTTTTTACAAGACGAGAGGAATTGAGAGAGAGCTGTTCCTTTCCTTTTCAATTACAGAGAATTTCCTATATCCCTGAGCAAATTGCTACAGTGGTTAATTACCATCTTGGTTTGAAAAAAAAAAGAACTTTATTTCTTGTCTGAATTGCCAATTTTAAGTCCATGGAGTTATCTTATCCAAAGACAAAGAACGAGTGATGCAGGAAGATAGTGAAAAGGTTGTAAAGAAAAATGTAGCTCTTCATACTTAATCAAAATTGCCCAGTAACTTCATTGTGCCTTTGATGCCTCTAGACCACTCAGCTATCTCCTTCAGTGGCCTTTTGCTCATCTTTTAAGAGGAAACACAGTCCCAGCAAGAAATACATTTCTCTGGGATGCCCTGTGCAGTATGGAGAGCCTGAGGAAGCTTCAGTATTGAAAGAAAGAAGAGAAATGTGGGGGCAGGATGGACCTGAAGAGGTCATCTAAGCTACTTCCCTCCTCTGTAGCAGGATTGATTGTACCTAGACCATCCATGACAGATGATCTTAGAAAATTACCGGTGATGGGAATTCTATGGAGTCTCGCAGAGTAACCTGTTCCCCACCTAATAATCTATATAGTTAGCAAGTTTTCAATAATATCTAACTTAAATATCCATTGCTGAAAATTAAGACCATTTAATCTTGGAAAGCATCAAGAAAGAATAAGTAATTTCTTTATAACCATTTAGTTACATATTTAACAAATTGTCATTCTCATACCCCCACCTCCCTCACACCCATGTCTTCTGCTTTCTAGGCTAAACAAGCCCCTGTACTTCAGCTGTTCCTCATAGGTCATGTTTTCTAAATCTCTCTAATATGTCTAAATCTGTTTCCAACATTTGACACAGTACTGCAACTCAGAACTAAGCACTTGGTACAAAAAAGGCATGTCTGTTAATATTTCTTTAAATCACATTGTCCTTTTTATGTAACAATCTTGTATTAATGACTCAAGTTCATTATGTGTTGCATTAAAAAGATTACAGATCATTTCTGTAGTACTGACACTTGCTCAGTGGCTTATCAATTATTTATATTTGTGTATTTGAATTTTTATTTCTAAGTATATAGTTTGTATATTTTAAATTAATGTTAACATATTAATTTCAGAACATGTTTCCAATTGATCAGGACCACTTTAAATTCAAATCCTGTCCTCTGAAGTGCTTTCAGTGCTTTCCATCTTGGTCATCCATAAATTTCATAAGTATACTCACTATTCCAGCATCCAGGTTATTAAAGAAAATGCTGAATAATGCCAGATTGGGACAGACCCATGCTGAACCGAATTTGGTATGTATACTTGGTTTAAAAGAAAATGATTTATAAAAGCTCTTCTAATTTTTTTAATTAGTTGAATAGCCACCTTATGACAATTTTCACCTAAACTATACTTCCCTAGTTGGATCATAAAAATATAATGTAGGTCTCTACCTTACTAGAGTCAACAACTACTGCTATATTATAAAAGATTTGTTCTTGATGTTCGACTTAATTTTTGTAACTACCATATTTAACTGAATTCAAGATGACTTTGAATTTAAAGCCACCTCCCCCGTAATTAGATTCTTTATATGAACAATTATACATTTCTTATAATTAACCACCTACAGATCTAGTTAGTGGAAAGTCATCTTGAATTAGTCCTCCTTGCTACTGTGTCAGGGAAAGCAGTAGTGGGAGGTAAGGAGCCAGACCCCTGCCCCTTGCTCCCCTCTGCCTTCCCCCCTGTGCTCATGCCTATCTCCCCTGAGGATGACCCCTTCCCCAAACCATGCACCCACTGATGCCTGCCTCTCCATGCCTGTACCTGCCTGTCTGCCCCTTACCCCTGTGCCTGTGCCGGTGCCTACCCACTCCCTCCCTGACTCCCTGACCTTCTGCCCCCACCCACAGCCTGCCTCTCCCACCCCCTGTCTCCTCTAGCCCCTGATCCCCCTTTCATGTCTGCCTCCTCCATGCCTGTAGCCCCACTCCCTGCCCACACCCTCTTACCTTTTGCTGCAACTCTGTTCCACTGGGGCACTCAGCAGTAATGCAGCCCCAGCCCAGCCCCAACCCTGCCTGGCCAGGGAGAGGCAGAGGTAGCTTCTCAGCAAAGTTGGGGTTGAAGGGACAGGAACTTGAGCAGAAGGGGGCATATTAGGTTGGGGGACAGGCTGCAGGGAGGAGCAGGGAATGAGGGGCAGACTTCAGGTTCCCACTGCTCCCCTACCCCATGGTCTCCTCTGTGCTCCCCCTGGCCATGTGCCCTCTCTCCCAAGAAATAAGCTGTTCTGCTCTGCATTAGTCAGTAGATCAACTCTGGCTTCAGGCCCAAGCCTGGGTACAAAATCAGTTTAGCCATCACTTGCTCTGGACTGGTACTCAAATTCAAGACAGGGTTCCCCCCGTGCCCCCCCATGCTGTTGAGGGTGTAGAAAAACTCATTTTGGATTTAAGTAAATATGGTACTGTATTATCTTAGGTACTTATATTTAATAATTGTTCCAATTGCCAAAGTTAGCTAATTAGTTTATACTAACTGTGTATCCAGCAAATTTATACTAAACATTTTTACTGTTGCTGTATTTATGCTATATACATATGATTCTTTCTTAAATAACACTTTACACTTAATTTCTTTACCAACTGTGAGCTCTCTGAAGGCTTACAGCTAAAATATGTTTCAGGTTGTAGCGCATGATCAAATGCATCATGCCATGGATCAACTTGAGTTTATTTCATTTGTTCTTACAACTTCTCTTTTCCCTTCCATCATGCTGCAGTTTTTCCTTTAACATTTGGCTGGCTCTTTTTTTTTATTTCTGTTGATCTTCAGCCAAATTCTGAATGAAATATGTGTAAAATTTGTGTCAAAACCCTTGAAATCGTCAGTAAAACAGAACATATCAGTTGTAGCTAAAAATCTGGCCCAGTCTGTAACTGCTTTTCATTCTTTTCAACCTTATTATACAGCTGATCAAGAGGTTAAAAATAGCTTGCTTCAAAATATTTCCATCTACAGGTCAGAACAGTATTAAAATATAATAGTCCACTTACCTTTTAAAATCACTAGTTGAATTGAGAGCAGCTTCAGAATGGAATTTAATACAGCATTTAAACAAATATAAGCAGGTTCAGACATTTTGCAAGTTATGTAGAGGCGATAAACAGCATGTGCATTTGAAGGAAGCACATTATAATTACAAACTTTATTGGACAATTTCACAGAATACCAATTTGTTTTCGCTTAAATGCTTTCCACGGTTGGTAATATTTCTTGATCATTTGTCTGAATAATTTGCATTTTCAGGTTGTCAAATGATTTCATTCTGGGCATTGCAATATATAGCTGTCCATGTCCAAACACTGGCTGTAATAAACACCTATTTTGTCAAATGTTTGACTGGCTTTTGTTGATAGTCATTGAAAATGCTACTCTGATAGTAAATTGCCCCCCGTGTATCTTAAGAGGTAGAACTGTGTCTGGTAGGCATGCCTCTTGGCAAAACAATATGTTTTCCAGTAGCGTCTCCTGTTGTTATTGCTAAGATTTTAGTTTTGCCTGTGGGAAGGCAAACCTCTTAGTGACAAACAGTTGGGAAACTCAGGCAGATATTGGATTCCATTGTTATCATGTTCATTGGGTACATTATCCATGCTTAAGTATACTCTTTCTTCTCCAATAATTCTGGCAATTTTGTCCTCATTTATAACATCACAATGTGGACTTGGGGCAAAGAATCACAAAATTTGAATAGAGGTGATAGCATGCTCTGAAAAGTTATTGCCATAAACCTTGTATTAAGATGCAGTTTTCTGGTACTCTAATAACATCAGAGAATTCTCCATATGTAGGGTTGGTCCCTTATTCATTCCGCTTGAAATAAGTGGCAAATTAATTGGGTCTGGATGTTGGTGTCATGTTACTGTGTAGTTATAGTGGAGCTCAGTATTTGAAAATGTCTCCACAATGGTAATGTATTAAGACTGTTCTCAAATAGATGTGGGTGATCTATGAGAAGCAACAGAAAAAACCTGCCTGAAAGTCCCTCCTAAAACCATGCCTTTCCCTCTGAATGGAATGTCAGTGTTCACATACAGAAATTGGTCAAGGCATGAAGCCAATGTTTGTTCTAGTTAGGTGGCGTTAGCGTGTCAGGTGAAAATCAGGCAGAGATCTGTTTTGCATAAGTCTCACAGTGGACTGAAGCCCAATATGGTGTGCCAGCTTGCTGGGTATAGTAGGTACTATATTTGCCCTTTTCCTGTCCCTTAAAACCTCACTCATCTTCCAGGAGTTCTTTGCTAATAGATCAGAAATTGCTTTGGTTTTAAGTTCTTTAAGTTAAGCAGGGTAAATTTTATCATACTC